ATAGGTTACACAGAGGTAAATACATACTGTAGATATCCTGCATTCACTTAATATCGTGGCAAGGACAGTCACTATGTCTCAGCTGTGAAGATTTCAGAGTTGTGTACTCTCAGACAGCTCACAAATGCCCTGTCCTTGTTTTTTTTCAGACTGGTGTAAAAACCTAGATGGCTTCTGTGCTGCTTTTCCTACCATGCCACAGTACAACGCCTGTTCCACATCCTTAGTGTTTTCAGCACTAACAAAACCATTCAGTTGCTTTTCTGTTCAGCACATGGTATGAATTTTCTACCAGACTTCTGTGATTATTGCCTTGCTTTTCAGGGACATCATATCAACTCTGCTCCACAGGGAATGAGAGGGAGCATTAGGCACCTATGCACATCAGCTAAAAGAACTAGACCTTTCACTTTATGCAAAAATGTAATGTGGAGTAGCTGATGCGCAACATGCTATTCTTCTTAGAAATACTTTCCCAAACCTACTTCTTCCAGTGCAAGGAGCACTTGAAATTACAGTGAGAGGTGTACATTCTAACAGACCCAAACTCCAAATAAGATCAAGTCCTATTCCTGACAGAGCTGGAACAAGAGGCAAGGGTCAGTAAGATTCACTCAGGGATTTCATATAACATAATAGGCATAAAACAACATAGTTCTGGCTGATAAAAATCTTGCTACAAGGTCATACAGTGAAGTGCAATAGATTCTGATCACTGTAGAGAAGATGGATGTTTCTGCAGGAGCCTGTGAAATTCGGTCATGCACAAAGCGTATCAGATTAGCTGAATTGTTAGAATGAGCATCCACTAAAAAGTGACTCAGATTTTACCTCAAGACTGAAGTTTTGATGTAAACACGGCAGAAGTTTTTCACTTTTGAGACAGCAGGTAAATGAAAAACAAAATATATTAGCTGAAAACTTTGGGTGCAACATTGCAACAGAAATAATATTTAAGTTTTATAAAATTGTTACCAACATCACGATTCTGAAAACGAAAGGAGGAAAGAAGCCAACTGCCAAAGAACACCACAAAGGATGGCTAAAGCCTCCATTACATAAAGTCATAAAACTCAACTTGCACTTGGTCGTAATTGTCAGCCATACTCCTTTATATTTGTCAAATACAGTCTGGATTTAACTGCGGTTCTCAAGTTTCTGCCAAGCTTTCTACAAAACTTGAACCTCAAATGTAATGAAAAAAGGTTGAAAGAAGAGATCTGGCAACAACCTTTCAGGTTTTATTCAAGTAGTGCTTTAATTATGGAGGAAAGTGGACCTGGACATCTGTCAGCACTTTAATATAGTGTCTTCCACTGCAAACGTACCATTTAACTCCTTCAAATCAAATGGAAAAGATTATTTTGTAGCATCACTCAAAAGAATTAATATAATTGTTTTTGATGGGCACTGATATCAAATAATAGATTAATCAGAAATTAAATCTAATTTGAAATAATTTAAGATCAATTATCTCTTCAAACTTTGACTTCAAGCAGAGAAATTGAGATCTTTAACAGCTTTTCTATCTTCCTAAGTGCTTTTCTTCCTTCTGTCTCCACAAACCTTTTTCCACACATCCCACTTGCCCTTTTTAAATGCTTTGAAATTAGTATCTTACAGATATCTAGAGGAACAAACGTAGCAGAACATTTTTATTCAAGCTAGACTCATTGGCTTAACCCTGCACGTGCTGCCTTGCACAAGACTAGCGCTGATAAGTTATAGAAAGAGGCCCTATAATTTTATAGAGGTTAGGAGAAATCCTTCCAAAGTCATTATTTGCTGAACACTGGAGAAAGTCACGTGTCTACTGAGGAGTAAGAAGATGGAATAGAGCTTGCAGTCAGTACCATTTCTTTTCCCATACTCAAATACAAAAACATTTATCCACCATAACATGGAAAATGAGAAACTACATTTCACTTAGAAAAATCCATGAGAGTAGAAATTCTTTTCCATATGGCAGTGATGACATCTTGATCCACCTCACCAGTGTCCACTCTTGGTTATTTGACTGAGTCTTGACTGGTTCTTTAAGCAATCTAATCTATTTTATCTTCCTCCTTAAATTACATTTCTTCTTGTAGACATTTCCTTGCACTTTTGTTGTCCACCCTCTAACGTGCCTTCCTATTCTTCAGTGAACTTGGCATCTCAGCTGGCACATCTTCAGTCCTATACATGTCCTTCCCATCTCCTATATATCTGGTTAGATGTCATGTGTATGAGGAGAGCTGTGCCTTCATTATTTCATTTTTAATTGTTTCTTTTCCATACAATGAATGCCTTGGTCTTCGATTCATTCCCCTCAGGGATTTTATGTCGTAATCTGATTTTTGCAGGCGAAAGAAAATTTGTAGGCAAATTCCCAGAGGAACTAATTTTCATCGCCTTTAGCGCTTCTGTAATTGATTGCAGCTCTCATTCCATCACTTTAATGAGGGGGTCGGGAGCTCTTTGTCAGTGGATGGGTTAGGAGATCCTCAGATTTCCTGATTATGCACTCTGTTAGGAGGACTAAGTAAATGAGCAACTGAATCCTTCCTGCTCATCTAGTAACAGCCACGATATTCAGATGAGTTTTGCCTCTTTCAGCACTCATTCCTGTAAGTTTCAGATAAGCCAGCCTGCATGGTTGGCAAGCACAGAGAGGATACTAAGAATCCCTGAGCTGTGCAATCTCACACCTTCACTCTACTGCTGGAAAAGCAGTCATGATCCTCTGGACATTGCCCCAAATCATATTCTTGGTGCAAAAGCAATGGCCTCACCAAGGAGGCCTTTCCTTTCTTGGCAGAACTGAGCTCCTTCACACCCAGCTGTCATCCAGCTGCCCAATCCTTGCTTTCTTCCCACTGCACAGGAGCTGTGATAATGGAAGATAGGGGGAAGAAAGCCTGTTCTCACCACCTGGCAGGCTCAGATGATACCGTTTCCATGGTTATTTCACACCATAGTTTCTGTATGAAACATGCCATGTTTTTTCTCATTGACACCTCACAGGGACATCCCAGCCAGTAACTCTGCCTCCAGCTTTCAGTTACCAAAAGCAGTTACACAACATCTCTGCCACTTTCGTCTTCATAACACAGACCACTGCTTGACTGACGATGTAATCTGAGGGATGCAATGGCTTCTAACATTCTCCTAACAGATTTAGCACACTTCCAAACCAGTAAGTGATTTAGGAGATACACTCAAAGCATTGCATTGTTGGCATCACCAGGCTCTGCTATACAGCGTACAAACAGCTTCAGCTAGCACTCATCTTCTACAAAACCTTTCTTCCCTAATTAAGTGCACATGTTATCCCTGAGTGGCCTTACAGCACTATGGTCAGGTAAAAAAGTGAAACAGAGAAAATAACTCTATGGAAAATGGCTTATTTGAAGCAAAAAGAAAATAAGTACCTAATTCTGGATTAAAAACTCTGAGGATCCTGCCCTCTAATGGATGATATGCAGCCTATGTGATTTATTAGAAACATTTCGTAAATTACAGAACATCATGTTACTTTGAGATGCATGCATTTGTTATTCATTGCACGTGTTTCAGTCTATGACAAACTATTTCAGTTTCCAGTGCACAAAGTCTGTAAGTATATAATACAAGTTGTTATAACCAGAAACAAAAAGATAGTTTTCTACATGGTTGATCTTTTCTTGGGGAAAAAATATCTCAAAGTCCCTACGTGCAGACCTATCCCCAGCTTATTCTCCACTGTAGCCATCAAGCATGCCAGCTGACTTTAGCACTACATTGCACTTCTCAGTACTTTATGTTTAATGCACAAATACATTGCACTTGTTAATATCTTGGACTGCTTGAGAAAACTTTTCATCTGCATTCGATGTAATCACAAGGAGCATTTTACACTGACTGACTGATGAAATAGCAAGACTATTTTGTAATCTCCACAAAGCATCACTAGCATCTGAAAAATCACCAGAAGGATCTCTTGCATTCTAAACTTCACTCTGAACCATTAACATGTCTGTACAAATCACTGGCAAAATGCTCATTTCAGAGAAAGAAAAAACAATGCACTCAAAAAAACAAGGGTTCCTAATGTTAGCTCTGCTCTAAATTATTAAGAGCAGCCAGCAGGACGGAGAGGACCGGCGGTGCAGATGTTTCTCAGCGTTAGTGCAGCCAATGGACTGCAGATTTCCCAACTCTCTCAGTACTTCAGCTGCTTTCAGCAACTTCACATTCACATTCCAGTAATGGGAGACAGTTAATTCGGTCCGTTGCGCTGCTTTGAAAATTTCCACCCTCGACTTGCAAACAAACAAAAACACCAACCTTTAAGCTAATGTCTTTCCCTGTGTGAATATAACAACTTCTCCCGGTGACAGAAATTCTGCTGTGAGTAGTGGCAAGCTCTGCTTTGTTGAAGCCGCCTGCAAACCCACATTGTTTAAGTCATTACACACAGAGAAGCTGAAGCCTGGTGTTGGTAAGTCATACGTTTTTGCTGAAATCACTACAGCTGAACAGCAGCATAAGAAAAAAGGGAAAAAATGTGGAACTTGATTAAAGATGCACATGTTTTCTTCTTGCATGGACAAATCCTGTTTAAATTGATATCAGCACAAACCAGCAACTGCAAGTTGTGTGGATCTTTTGGCACGAGTGCTGAGACTTATGCACAAAGCTACCCATAGCTAAACAGGCTCATTGCTACAGAGGCACAAAAATAGCATATGTAAGATCTACAACATATTTAACATTACATCCTGATTCGTCTTCTGGGCAGACACATCTCTGCAGAACAGTGCAGTCCTGCAATTTAATTCTTTTAAGAATACACGCATGGCACAGTTAGGAGTGCTCCAACTCCCTGCGCAGTAGTAAAGGGTGCTATTATTTTCTCAAGATGAGTAAAACATGCACACACACTGCTGTAATTTTAATATTAAATTATTTGTATCTGTCTAATGATTCTACCCAAAAAGTCACTGCTAGAAGTGGCAAAAAATCTCTGTAGTACTCACAGGTTAGGAAGCACCCCAGGCTCATGCTTATTCAGCTGCAGCACTGCCAGAGCTGTTGACTGCTGTGCACCACTCTCTCCTGGGATGAATCCTGCCTAGGAAAGGCGAGCCCTTGTCACCAGCCCTGCTGACTTTACATCACTATTCAGAAAGGCAGGTTCTCTGGCAAGTGATCCTTATCTACCCAAATTGTTAAGGGTAAAAAGCCATTTCCTTCTTGCAACACAGCTAGATACGTCTAGAAGTGTAAACCAACTTCAAGGGACCCAGTAGGAGCTTGTAGGAGGACCCAGAGTTTCCCAGCACCCATCAGAGTGACAGCAGATTTCCTACTCCCCAGTTGCTGGCTGCTCTTCATCTACTGCTATTGCAATACTTTGCAGAGAAGGCGACTAGCTCAGACCCTGGCTTCAGACCTCTCAACGGGGCCAAAACTTATTTGAGATTTAAAACATAGGAACTTCCTCAACATCAACAACAAAGAGAGACAGATATTTTTAGTTTTAGAAGTAAAGCATTTTAAAGTTCACACTTAAATGAAAAAAGATCAGAACAAATATACCAATACACTATTGTGTATAAACATTGAACTCCTAGGTCATATCCTGCTAAGCACAGCCCCGGGTGGAGTAATATAAACTGCATTTGCCAAGTTAACGTGGCACATATAAAAGTAGCCATTACAGTTTCACTGCCATTTGTTACCTGGTGTGATGGGTACAACTACTGCACCTGATCTTTCAGACTGGAAGAACCTCAGCCTGTTTAGAAGACCGTGATCTTGTTTATTCTAGCTGAAAGAACGTTATTCTGAATAGCTGCCCTACCTTGAAGAAGAGCAGCTCCTATTGCATCTAAAACCAGAGCCAGAAAAGCATAGGGGAGCTGATGTGTGGGAAAGTAACAGTGAGATGCATTTGTCTCTTAGTTTAACCCAGGCCCTACCAAGAAGCCAAGGAAACTACCAAAACCTGTGTCCTGAATTACTTTGTCCTGGATGTACCCAAGACACCTCTCCCAACAGACATATGTCAATAGGAAATAAATAGCATTCTGTCCAGCCTCACTTTAAGTCTCAGAAGGAAGCCACAATCCAGGCAGAGAGGAGAGCAAACCAATAGTGTACCCTTCTGTCAAGTAGCCCATGTCACTTAATATTATTTAAAGTCCCAGGAATGACTATAACCAGACATACGTGATGCATCCTCTTTGAAGTCATAGCATATCTCCTGGTGTTTCAGAGATAGAGGGGGACCAAAGATGGAAAAACAGAAACAAAGCCCAACGCCTAGATAATTTGTTTTTCCACAGGTCTGTTATGTACACAAAATAGGAAGCTCTTTGAGAAAATGAATCTTTGTGTTTATTACCAAAAAAACAAAAAAACAAAAAAACCAAAAAAAAACAAAAACAAGATGAGTGAGACAGTATGTCTCACTCTCCCATAACTTAGTTTGATTTAAGTTATACCCATAAAAATAGTCTGACTTTTTATTTCCAAGAGTCATGTTTCAGTCTTGGGTTGTTTTCTTTCATGGTGTAACATACCTTTGTGCATCTTGAGAAGTTAAAAAAAAAAAAGTATATATTTCTCACAACACCTCAGTAACAAGGCAGGAGCTGAAATGTCAACCATTTACAACAGCTCAAAATAACCTTTGACATCTGGTCAGTAGAGCCCACAACAGAGTAATTGCACCAGAGATATGTTGTTAAATACTCAAGCAGTGAGGAGAGCCTTGAGAAAACCTACCAGTTTCTTTCTTGGATAATAGCTGAAGATAGATCTTCAAGGCAAAGGAACAGCAATGGTAAAAGAAAGAGTCAGAATGACAACTCATAGCATTTCTCAATCCTTGGTTCTTCTCAAAGACCATGCCTTGACAAGAGGCAGTCATTTCTGTCATAAGCTATGAATGAAATAGTTAATTATCAGCCATTTTGCTACTTCCTTTGCTTGGAACAAAGTGTGCAAAAAAAAAAAATATATATATATATATTTTGCTGCACTAGTTCTCTCTCCTCTGAACTGCCACACAGAGCACAAATAGATATTAGAGACTTTAAGTTGGATGAAAGAAAAGACAGTTTAGGTGGTAGTAGAAATGAAAAGAACAAGAGGTAAGAACAATCCTCAATGGAGGGGGACTGGGAATGCTCCTAACCTGCTTGAGGGCATTGGCAGAGCCAGAACGGTCTGTTCCGCCTCAACCAGACCCTGAGGTCTTCAACACAGGGTAAGAAGTGAAGTTAGCTGCAGACATTGCATTGTTTCTCAGCTTGGGCATCATTATTTCCAAAATATCCTAGTGCAAAGACAGAAATATCCAAATATTTAGGACAGTACCTGTGAGCATTTACACAGTAGAAGGGCTTTCATTTCCAAACCATTTTCTCAGGTAGGAACTGCAGAAGAGTTCCCACTTGAGGTAGATGTTTAACCCTTGAGAGCAACAAGCCCACCTTACCTACACCTTAAATCAGCTTCATCGTTGTTACATCTTCTACGAAGCTGATGGAGGAAGATCCTGACCTAGCAAATCTGTGCAAAAATGCAAAAAAAGAAGAAAAGACTTCTTTTCATGGTCCCCACAATTGATTCTTGGCATAAATCATCTAAGATAATAATCAAGAACATGGCAGAAACCGGAGGAGAGAAAAATCATAGAATGGCTTGGTTTGGAAGTGACCTCAAAGACCATCCAGTTCCAATCCCCCTGGTGCAGGCAGGGTTGCCAACCACTATATCAGGCACTGATCAGGCTGCCTGGAACCCCATCCAACCTGGCCTTGGAGAGATCTGCGAGGATGTCATGCTGGAAGAGCCCTGCATTGAAGCTCTCTGCCTGCCATCAGGTCTGACTGTGGAGACCAGCAGGTCCCAAATGCTTGAGCTGATCACTTCTGTCAAAGCAGCTCAATACATATAGGGACTAGTAAACAGACAGCTGGATAGCAGTGCAGCAGACCTGAAGCCAAACAGGATGCTGTAGTTTTCACCCTGTTACGATTACTCTGCACAGGAAGAAGGTTGTTCCAGCAAAGTTTCACAAGGAGACTGATCTCAGAGCAGCAAAACTATCAGTTTCTGTCTAAATTCAGGAATCCCTTAAAAAAGATCCAAACCCATGTTTTCTTCATTAAAAACACCAATATCAGATTCAGCAACAGCACAGGAAAAACTCCAGAAGTCGGCCCAGAAAAATGGAAGGAGAGGAGCAGAAATTACATTTGCAGATCAGGAAGCAGATGCTTCTGGCAATGGTTCTGCTCAGCCACCAGAATGCCTCAAGGAGGATTACGCAAGAAATAAACTCTCTGTTTAAAATATGTAAACTGATAAAACAGCCTTACTTTGATGCTTGCTCTGCAAGAAGCATTTCAGCTGAATCGATAACACAGCGTTGTTCTCTCACTGCAGCGTCTGCAGAAATATTTTCATGTTTCAGCTGCACTGTTTATTCCAGAAAGTGAAAAGTTTGTGGCGATTAAATTCTGGAGATGTAATCTGTGGTGGTACATCACTGCAACCACTCAGACTTTGTCATGGGATGGATGATAGAGGATTTAGCCTTCTCTAACGAACAGCACGCCAGATTTACGTGCGTATTGTGTTTCTCAGTAGGAATGTCTGACTTATTACAGAAACCACAGACAGATCCAGGTGGAGAAGCATTCAGGATATGACAACCATCTATTGCAGATTAGATCAGAAAAAGGGAGGCAGCAGCTGAGCTTAATATACGGAGAAAGTCTGGTTTACTTTATGGTCTTTTTAAAATGAATGGCTGTTTTCTTAGATACTCTGAAGAGTCCTAGCACATCACTGGTAGCTTTGCCATGCCAAAGCTGTTATTTTCAATAATATGAAATCAATGAGGAATGCAGATCTGAAGACCAGTATCAAAAAGGGGAAGATAGGCAAACACAGGATGTGCTGAATTTGAGTGCTCTGGGTTTCAAGCAGATCAAGTTTTTGCTGACATCCATCTCCCTTCAGGCTCATCTTCCTCCTCCAGTACAATTCCTCTGTCGTGTCGAAGGTGCAGCAGGTAAGCAGTTATTCCAGTGGCAGGACAAATGACTCTGCATTGTCTTTATGAGAATATTGCTCACTAAAAACAGATTTTACTTAGGCATCATAGAAAGGGGATCTGCACACCTGCATTTATCACAGCATATAGCTAGATTTATTGTCAGGGTGACTGTACCCTACCAGGGATGTAACAACCCAACTGCCCCAGAAGCTCAGCTGGGGAGCACAGGCTGCAGCATCCCTTTGTGCTGGCACAGCCAGGCCTCCTTACAGTCCCTGTAGTGATCTCAGCCCTTAGGACTGCTTGTTCAGCTGGATCCCTGTGAAACGCTGTCAGATTTTCCATAGCACCATAACAAAGGCTTATTTATTTATCTATTAAAAAGGAGCGTTAAGAGGTGCAAATATTTGAATTGGCTCCTAAAATTCGGTCTCTGGACTGGAATTCAGACTACTGGGCGAGAGGGCTAGCAAACACCCAGCTAACATCTCAGGGTGCTCCAAGCCATTTTGTTCTCCATTTTTGATTCTTATTTTCCCCCCAGTGGTTTCTGTGCTGAAGGAGCTGATGTGATTTATCAAAAAGCAGCAGATGTCAGCTGAGGAGAAACATCCTTTTTCAAGCTCTGAGGGCAGTGACAGCAGCAGCAGAGTTCTGAGAGCAAGCTGTTATTTCTGTGCATCAAAACAAAGCTGTGACTAGTGCACAGTGTTCCCACTTTGACTTTTGTAGAGATTCTCCACATTACTTATGTTAAAGTCATTCAAAATAGAGATTGAATCATGCCACTGTGACATTCTGTAGTGCTCCACTTGGGAAGCAGTGAATGAGAAGTTTCAGCTGTACCACTACAATTGCTTTTCCATTTAAAGTTATAGGCAACTTAGAGGCAACAAAGTTATAGGCAACTTTTCCAGCTAGAAAAACAACAAACATGAAGAAGTGTTGCCTTCTGTGCTAACATGCAGCAGAGCTAAAGCTCACCTCTTTTTCTCTCCCCCCCCCCCCCCGATATCCATTTAAATCAGTGCTCCAGCAACCGAGTGAGCAATACAATGCTGCAGGAATGAGATGGAGAGAAGGAGATGCTGATGACAGTACAGGCAAGCTTAAGAGCCCTTTTGGAATTTTTCTTTCAGCTGTTTCCAGCTTCACTGAT